CCCTTCTCAATGGTGGCGCCCAACACATCTGCCTCGGCGTCTTCTCGGCTAACGAACTGCACGAGGCTCATGTTCTTCAGTTCCCCTTGCTCTACCTGGTCAAAGATCTGCTCCAGCGTTGATGCCGCTGGTATGCTCCTGTCCTCCAACTTGAGGCCGTGCACCGCCTGGAACTTCGTGAGCAGATCCTGCACTTCGACCTTGTTCAACGCTCGGGGTTGACTGGCAAGTCCTGCTTCTGCCTCCGCCTTGTGCCTCACCGTCATTCTGGTCGAAGAGGATTCCCAGGCATCCACCATAGATGCGATATCTATCACATCCCTTCCTTCATCGAGCCCAAGCGAATCCACACAAAACCTCCTCATTCCAGCCCTGTCGTCAGTCACCGTGCTCAACCTGCTAATAGTTCTCACCCTTGCCACCGACAGTTTTGCCTGCAGTGTCTCATTCACCTCCTTGATCTGCAGAAGACCGTGTAGATCCGCGTCCAAGAGCGAGATGGCATGTGCTCGCCGTGCCGGTGTGTCATGGCCGATGTCCAGCGCACCAGCAGCGGCCCCGGCTCCCGCCATGTGCACTCACGAGGACTGGTCCTCCCCGTGAGAAACCCCGGAATGAACCGCCGTTGAACGGCCGCCCGGGCTGGAGCCCCACTCATGCACCATCATGCCTGAAAGGGAAGGTCTCACAAAGCTAGCACAAATCCAAGACGTTTCACGAAACGATCGATCGACCCGGCAACGAACACACAAGCCAAAGCGCAAAACACACTCAAACTTCAACCCCTCTTTCGCCTCAGGCCTTCCTATGACCCGTACACGGCCACTCTCTCGTTTGATGTTTCGCCGCATACCACCCCCTCAGTGCAGCATGTCCCCTTTCACTGTGAGGCCCACGAATCTCTCACAATGATGCCTCCACATCCGACTCCATTGAGTCCGACGAAGTCACTTCCCCGGAGCTTTCATCCTCCGGAGAAATCCCTGCTACGGTTGCACCGTCACCGAAGCAGTTCTTACAAGCTCGATGATATTGGCTTGTATCTGGAGGTTCCTCTCCTAGCAACTCAAACTGTGCATAATGTACACCGGGCTGCCTGTGGCGCTCCCCCACGCGGTGCAATGTTCGCGTCCGCGATCGACCAACTATCGACACCACATAGCTACCCGCTACTGCCTCTGCTCGGATCACCTCGTCCCGTGGCTCCGTCTCCAGCTCTTCCGTCGACTCGAAGCCGGCATCCTCAGGACCAGTCTTCCGATCATTGATGGGGTCGCCGTCTTCCGGCTCGACGAGCACCACCGGCCCTGCCGACGTCCACTTAGGCCTCCAACATGGCTCCACTGCCACCTCTTCTGGATGGAACCTCTCAAGCAGACGTGTCTGAAGCTCCATTGCCTCGTCTGGATAGCCAAGCAGCCCCATACGGATGCTGACCGCCTCCATCACCGCTGTCTCGTCCATGGGATCTCCTCTTCCTTTGTTGTCTCGAATGAAGGCTGCTATGATCTTCTGGGCTCGCAGGATGTTCGCACGAACCACTCGCTCATAGCCTTCATCGGCGGCCGGCCGCCACCTGCCCATCTGACGCCGGATGTCCTCCGGCACCCTCGCGGCTGCTGCCCACGACCTCAATGTCGCACGTTCGCTATGTTCTGTCCATAGCGTGCCTACCCCGTTGAACAACAGCGAGATCCTCTGGCCTCCATCCATCGTCCACAGCTCGCCAAACAAAGCTTGTGACATTGCAGAGGCCGTTGCATAGTCCGCCATCCGCCTTGCAAATGATCGCCTGTCCACCGTCGGCCAAGCCAACATAAAGTCTCGGGTCAAAAGACCAGACTCCATGCCCATGTGAGTCCAGATCCGCCATCCGACCTCCAACCAATTGTATCGGCTTACCCAAGCGTCCTTGCTGACATAGAACGGGAGGAGAAGGACACGCTTGCCTGGCCCAGAAGTCTTGGACTTATGGATGACCCCCACCAGGTGTGAATCTCGAAGCTCAATGCTCCTGTTCGGTGTCCCTCGTGTATCATCAAAGCGCATTCCCGTCCACAATTTCACCAGCCTGAACCAGGCGTATGCCCTGACAAAGGGGAGTCGATCGTCGCACAGCACCATGTCCTCCATGGCCTCAATGATTGCAAGTGGAATCATCCTCGCCTGCCTCGACGGCCTCATCTCCGCCGATGCCAACCTGAGCTGCGCCTCCTCCAGTGCATTCTTCACAGCTGCAGACCTGTGGAAGAGATTACCCTCCTCCACCTCTCCTGCGAACTCCAAGAACATCAATGTCTTGAACGCTGCTTCCGGGGCTGACTTTGCACAGGGCTCCTGAACGATGGCCTCCAAGTATTCGGCAAACTCCGTGGGCGATGTAGGCCAGATCTTGCCATAGGTCGACTCCAGCCACTGCCCCACCTTTTGCCATGTTTTGACATGCTTTCTCAAAGTGTTTGGACGCCTCCCTTTTGCGATCCTCATGAGAAGAGAATCTTCGTTCGATCGAAGCGCAACCGGGAGCTTGGCCTTCTTGATGATCGTCCTCAACTCTCCCAGCCATCTGTCGCGCTCCGACTTCTCTGCTTGCTCTCGCAAGGCCAAGTCATCCCCTGCCAGATGTAGTTTCTTCCCGAGCCTTGTCGGCCATTTGATCACCTTGGCCGAACCAACCATCTTGACACGCTCCACGACCTCCTGCTCCTCGAGGCTTCCGAGGACGCGCCTCCTCTTTTCCCTCTGGTCTTCCAAGTGGGCCTCCAGGAGCTCATGGGAACCTCGGCTCGCATCTGCTCGGTGAATGTTGGCCGACCGTTTGTCGCATTGATTCACCATCTCTTGGAGGTCCGCCAACTCGGCCTGAAAGTTCTCCTTCTTCCTCCTGGCGGCTACTAGGATGGACTGAAGCGCTTGAAGACGGCAGCCCTTCAACGTGCCCAACTTCGTCACAGTCCAACCCAGCGCCGCCAGGACCTCCAGATCGGGCTCAGTTAGCCCTGCCAGAGAGCCACACAGGCAGAGCTCCTGCATGGCCCTCTCCATGGCGGCGCCAGCTGGATCCCCCCACTAGACAACAGAGGGGATTTGGGCCGCGCTCTGCGGCGTTCGTTTCGTGACGGTCCCCGCGAGTCTCGCGAGTTGTCATAAGCGATTTCTATGTGCCACTCGTTGCACCAGCCACCTGCTCTAAGCAATCACGAGCCACACGCCACTGCACGCCCACGCCAGACAGGCGATTTGCAAGCAGCTGGGCGTCAGTCAGGATGCGGATCCGTGCGCGGAGGCTACGAGTAATTGCGCGCTCCTCAGGAAAGTCATTCCAAACTTGTGAGTTGATCAGTTGCCAAAACATGCCACTAAGTCTGGAATGACAACCAAACCGAGTCTAGGAAACTAAACCAAAGTCCAATTTGATTAGCAGCGCAGATTTGTTGAGTTGCGCTCCTCATCAGAATTTGCCTCTACGACACGGAGTCGGCTCCAAGACTGCCTTATCATGGTGAAGCTGAAGGGGACAAAAAACAGCGAAGTGGCTAACTTGAGAGCAATCCCTTGGTGCTTTTGGATGCTTTCTGGATTTTCGTCTGGCTTCTCAACTTTCCGCTGTCCGGGCCAAACTCCGAGGTGAACCCCATTGCAAGTGTTGAGGTGTTGCTCAGACCGATCCTGGCATGTCCTACCCAACCTGGCACAACTAACATCAGGCTTCAACGGCGTCACTGTGAATCTCTGAGTGCAGCTCATTTATGCTTATTTAATAGCCCACCATGTCCGCTAGCTGGTTGTGTAATTATTCTTAATGCATCCGAAGCTGACTCCTGATTTGAGGTCGAGGTGCATAAACTTCTCATCAGCTGTCAGCCTGGACTTGGCTTCTGCTGGGTCGATCTGCGACAGCTCGCTGAGGCTGTGCACGCTCAGCTCGAGGTGTTTGTGGTCATCGGGCGCACGCGGATGCCGCGCCAAACGCAACAGCAATCCGTCTTCAGAGTCATAGCTGGTTTCCTGGCCCAACGCTTGGCAGGAAGCAAGTCGCCTATGTGGCCAACCCTCCTGCCAAGATTCTTCGCCACTTAGGATGATGAATCTTAAAGCTTACAGTAACTCGCAAATGCGCGGAGCCAATTGCAGCCCAAGTTGCGATGCAATCACTCCTGCAGGATTCCAAAGAAGCTATTTGAGACTTTGAGAGGATCGCGCGCGCAGGGACCCAAAGCACCTCTCGCAAAGCCGAGGGCTTCTTCCCAATGGGAGGCTTGTATGCCACAAGGAGCTCCTGCACCTTTAAGATCAATTCCTGTCTGGGGAAATGTTACATCAACCCGCTGAAGTTGCACAGTAGACACTGTGAATTCAAAATACCATGACCATAGACCATAGAACAACTCATCTCAGGTAAACAAACAAATATTAATATAACGGCAACTACGGACGGCAACTATAGAACAAACATAGGAACAACTAAGACTTTTCTGCCCCAACAATGGCGCCTCTGTCTCTAAAACCTCCTCCTCTTGGTCCTCACTGTCGCTCCCCTCGGATCGCACACGTACATGCAAGCGGCCATCTCTGTAGAAGCACACCACCAGGTCGCTGTTCCTTGCACCACCCATCACCCCCGGCCCAAAACGCGGGGCCCTTTCAGTGGGGAAAGGCACCAGATTCATGAAGAAGCTGGTGCATCCCACAAAAGGCACGAACAAGACAAGCATGAACAAGCACAATCCAATCATGTCCAATCACACATCATCAAACCAACAGGGCATCACATGGCATCATGGCATCACTTTACCCACGAAGTCCCTTCTGCAGCTTGCCATGATTACGTCATGTTGTGTCCACATCAACACCACCAGGCCACAAACAGCCTGGTAGAGGCCGTTCAGTCGCCACATGTCGCCACGAAAAACAGTCGCCACTCGCCACAAAAATAAATGGTGCCATGTGAAACCGACGACGAAAAGACATGCTTCTGTCTCAAGAACTGAGCATTCAGTTGCACCACTGGGCCCGTCTGTTGGGCCAGTGCCACTTGTATCGCCTGGAACTGCTTCAGCTGATTAAGATCGGTACATCCGCCGGCGCCCAGCGCGCGGGAGAGCTGATGCACTGCGTCAAGCAGCACCGCACGGAGGGCCATGAAGTTGGCCTATGTAGCGATGCAAGGCGCCAGGCAGAGGTGATTGGACAGGTCAAGGAATGGAAAATAGGAGATGGAACATGATGGAACATAAATAGGATCAATCAACAAAGGTACATTCCTGCGGATTTGCAGGAGGTGCCTGAACATACAACAAGACATTCCTTGGCTCGGACATATTAGGACACATGGCAGGGAGTGATGGTGACGCCCGGTGCAATGGAGGAGTTGAACTCTTCACCTTCTATGTGTCTAGATTTGATGTCTAAGTTCTCCACCTCTCTCTCCCTCCCTGTCTCTCCCTACCCCACTCCCACTCCCTCTCCCTCTCGCTCTCGCTCTCTCTCTTTCTTCGCTCGGAAGAACGCCTTGTACTTAGAGTTGTCCACCTTCTTGATGTTCCTCTCGAGCTCCTCTCGGATCGCGCTCCAAGAGGCTTGCATGCTCCGAGAGTCGGATCTGGCCGAGGGCAGAAGGCGACCCAAGAGGTACCTGAACGGAAAATCAGCACTGTCACTGAAGGGATCTGCACTGCTGCGTGTTCATTTTTTGGGTCATGTTTGTTGACGAGCAATGATTCATACAGAATCTCAGGAGGAATACGAGCAATGTTCAGCATGAACAGATATGAAAGCAATTTATCGAACATTGATCAATGCTGCTACTATGTTGCAACAAACCTGTTAGGACTCTGAAGGCTTCTGAGGCTCGCTGAGCCAAAGGCAGAAATACATGGCATCTTATCGTAAGATATGACCCAACAACTTCTCTTCAGAAGAATGGGTCTCTCCCACTGATAGTGCACACTCATTGAATCAACAGTTGCCGCATGTTGCTGCCATTTCCTACCTTCTCACTTCAGTCCCAAACAACTCCCCAAATCTGTCAATCTGCTCAGAATCTTTTGCCGTGAATCGCTGTGATATCCTGTGCTTTGTTCACCCCAAGACCTCCCCATGACCTCAGCTCGGATGCAGCTGGAAGAAGGCGTCATCCGCCGCGTAGCGGCGCTGCTCCAGGGTCAATTCTGCGGACCAATTGGAGGTCCCAACCGATTTCAGCTTTTGGAGGGGGAGCTCAAAATACTGCGCCTGGGCCAGGCAAACACCCATAAGATTTTGCATGTCACACTCTGGTCATTGTCAAAGGTTGCGTATACTTGTGTATATATAAATAGATGAGAAGGCTTGTGGCAAGTACAGGTGGAAGAACTTGAACTCTTGATCCCCAGGCACCATCTTCAGCATGCCTTGTGGAAGTCCCTGGGCACCGGCCAGCTCAGCGATATCCCAGTAGGAGGCCTTCACGGCTTGCTCCTCAAAGTCCCAGCCAAAGCTGTTCTTCAACTTCCGCTTATCTGCGAGGTCGAAGCTGGCCACCACCTATGAAGGAAGGTATACTAACAGGGTGGATGATAGACTTAAATCCAGGGTCAATACCTTTCAAGCAACAACAATGCAAGGTATGAAGGCATGAAAAGAATCAGTCAGGCGTGTATGCTCTGCGAGTTGAGTGAGCTTGGCCAGTTGGGCGATACATGACATTTTCTGGACCCGTTTTCGATGACTTTCAGGCTGCAAGGTTAATCGTCATGAGGGTGCCCCGAAAAATGGCGAACCATGCAGAACCAATTCTCTCGAGGAATCTGATTCAATTCCAGGTCAACAACCACCAGCCACCTTCCAATCTTCGTCCCATTCCTCATAGAACATCCACGAATCGAATCCACTAACCCACATTTCCAAAATCATCCAAAACCAGCCTATTCTAAAAAATCATTAAACACATCCCAAAGATCTTTGGTGAATTGAAGATTGATGTAATTTTGAACATTGGTATCTCCACAAACCACCTCTCACCTTGAGGATCTCCTCCCCAGACTCCAGGAATGCTCGGAGCCATCCCGGCAGCTCTGCAGCGCCAACGGTCCGCAGCAGGAGCACAGTGTCCCAACAGGCGAATTGCATCAAGGCCTGTCACTCTCATTTCCAGGTGCTTTCTCTCGACCTATAGGCCTTGTGAGAGCTGGTGTTGTATTGTTTCTGGCCACTTTTCGCATCTTTTCGCCACATCTGTTTCGCGCTGGCGTGAGAGTGATGGATCCAGTAGTGCTCACAGACTTGCATGGACGCTGAAGCGTTCCTTGAGGGTGTGGTTTGCTTTTTGCCCCATTCTGAAAGGTAAACCAAGCCGAGCAGCAATTGGATTGTCTGAGCCCGCTTTGTCCGGCTTCCATTCAAAGTCAAGGCCCACCAGCAAGGGCAGGTCTACCGCATCACACTGTTCACGAAATCGCAGCACTGAGAAGGCGCCCTCGAAGGCCGCCTGCAGCGTGAGGCTGTGAGGCTAAGGTGTTCTTCTGCCTCCGCTGATCGAAATGACACTCCCTGAGCATGGTGAGTTTACCGCTTCCATGATTCTAGGGAATGTACCCGAGCGTGTCATTCAATCACGACCATGGGTGTTTTTGAGGATCAGATTTATTTCTGCTGTACCCCACGTGTCAGGAGTCATTTGGCCTAGCGAGTGTAGACCATGTCAGCTCGAAAACCGTCCCTGGCCACTTGCCGGAACGATCTTCTGTTCGTTGCCTTGCTGGAGGGCTCAGCGAAAACCGTCGGCCACAACCACTGGTCCGGACGTCCGCACGGTCATCACTGGCGTTGCAACATGCGACGGAAGACACGTGTTTCATCTTTGTGCTTTGTCTGTAATGCGCCCAAAAGTGCACCAATTCCCCAACAACTGTCCCCCCAAAACATCTCGAGCAAGCTGAAACTCGGATGTTCAGGCTGCCTGGGCCTTCTCTGACGCAAGGTCATATTCCAGCAGTGTCCCTGAGAAGGTCACGTACTCTGCCAGCGGGCCGTGTGACATCATCACTCCATGTGCGCGGGGACCCAGGCGGCCGTGGGCATCAAACTCAAGGACGGAAGGCCAAAGGATTTAGGGCCTAAACACTCATCCAAGAACGCAGTAGCTCGAGGAAAATTCTACTAGTATATCGCTACGAACGGAGCGATCGGATGCTACGTTCGGGGCGCTCCTGGCCTTACTACTAGGAACAAGAAGCTAGTAGCAGCAAGGACTCTTCGCTTTGACTGCTGTACAATTGTGAGCCTATGCTACCGTATGACTGTATGACCTTCTATATCCTTCTTGCCAATCTGAACCAGAATCACATGTTGTACCCCTGTCTGTGTATCACATGAAGAAGCTCTTCCTGCGCGTGTAGTACTTCAGCCATTGCTCACATCTGTGAGCCCAATGGCTACAGCCAAGGTCGCACATGAAACAATACCTGAACACCACCTCATTGAACACCAGTCCGGTTTGCTGGCATCTGCTGATTGAACAATGAATGACACTTTGTTAACTGCCCGATGATGTAGCAGCACCTTTCATGTCCAAGCAGAAGTGTTCCCTCAAGAAGAAATGCTCCCTTGATTCGACCATGAAGTGTGGAAGAAGAACCAAGCAAGTCTTGGCGGATGTGGATGACGTGCCCACTCCCTGTTTTGAATTGTCCCAAGATTTGTTTTGATTGTTTTCGTAAGAGCTTCCGTTTCGGGTAGGACAAGTGAGTCGAGATGCAACTGCCCTCCCCAGCCGCTCTCCTCGTGCACGGCGTGCCGCTCCATCTTCCGATAGGCGCCGCTGAAGCGGCCCGGCCTGGTGCAAGACAGATGTCGCTTTCGAAAAGGGAAACATTAACACAGAAAAACAAACAGAGATAAAGACCACAGAACAGAGAACGCAAAAACCACTGTCCCTTTAAATCGACCGGACAGATGGGTTTTGCAAAGCTGTGAGGTCGTGGTTCAGTGTTTGAGTCCCGGAGGCCCACAGGTAGCACGGGTAACATGTCGACAGGCCCCGAGCTCCCGCAGATCTGCTAAGGCACACGGCTGCACCCACCGGCAGCCCACACTCAGCACCTTGGCATCAAGAAGTTGAAGGCCTTCACAGGAAAACCCCCACTTTGACTGATTGAAACCAGCAATGAGGCTCACAATCTCATAGCCTCAACAGCCCCTGAAGCACCACAATCATCTGATGGCAAAACTGAATCGAGTAGTCTTGATCCATGCACGTATTTGCCACGTTGGAACTCACATTTCATGGCACAAAGTCAAGCGCAAGCGTTCTTTTCATCCTTCTAATCTCTCTGTCTCTCACTCTCACTCTCGCACTCTGTGGCCAGATGGCAATGGGGTGAAACCCGGGCTACCCGGTCGGATCCACCCAGCAGGGCAAATCAAAATCGCTCTCTTAAGGCTGCAGCCACGACTCGGCGATGGCTGTGTTGTGCTGTGCCGTGCTGCTGCCGGCATCATGCGGGTGCATCATAGCGAACGGCCTCCCTTCGAAGAATGTCCACTATGGGACCCATCAATCGCTTGAAGGTCTTGCGATCCATTGACATCAACTGCACATTGGGCGTAGATGCCACAACACTGGCGGCCCTTGGGGCATTGGAAATGAGGGAGAGCTCTCCAAAGTAGTCACCAAGCTTGTGGGTCATGACCTTCTGTGGCTCTTGTCCTTCTACAAAGGCCTTCATCGCCACACACTCGCCTTCCATGACAATGAAGAAGCAGTCACCCGAATCACCCTGCTTGATGATCTCCGTGCCCTCCTCCAAGACGAGCACCTTCATGGCATCGGCGATGGTCATCAGTTCGTACTCGTCAATGCTCGAGAAAAGGGGGACCTCCTTTAAAAAGTGCGACAAGGTCTCCCTCCTTCCGGCAGCTGCATCCTTGACGATGTTGTTGAAGGTCTCCCGATCAAGCTCCCACAGGGTGGCTTTGTCCTTGCAAACCACGGTGGCTGCCCTGGGGCAGTTGTAAAGCAAAGCCAACTCCCCAAAGATGTCACCAGCAACACAGGTCTTCACGAGTTTCTGCTCATCGTTTTGCTTCTTGAAGCACTCTGTCACCCCTTCCTCAATGAGAAACATGCTTTGGCCATCCTCACCTTCTTGGATCACAGTCTCTCCAGGCTCTACCACTTTCTCCTGAAATGCGAGAATGATGGTGGCTAGATCCTTCTTCTCCAAGGCTTGGAACAGGAAATTCGGTGCCAAACACTTCTCAATGCGTGCTTTCTGGTCATCTGATTTCTCATACACAGGAGCGTTGAAGGCACATTTCTGGTTCCAAGCGCCATAGGCCTCTGCCGAGACACTCTGCCGTGGACGAATGGGCTTGAGATTCTCAGGCAGGTCGTCGACTTCGTCCTCGTCCTCCTCCTCCTCTTCTTCAGACTCTTCATTGGCCTTGGTAGACCTCTCGGACTTCACATCCATCCCACTTGCAAGCCCGGAGTCCTCGAATCCGCCCAGGATCGCCAAGAGCTCCGACTTCCTCTCCTGCAATCTCTTGATTTCCGTCTGCACGGTCTCGATCTCTTCAGCCGTTGAGGTGCGCTGTCCTTGTTCTGCACCATCCAGTGACTTGGTCTGCTCGCAAAGCCACCTCAGCATGAAGAAGGAAGGATCGTCGGGTCGTTCCAAAAGCACTGCGGTGACCAACGCCTCCAGGACGGGATTCACCTTCTCCTGGATGTACATCAAGTGCTCCTGTGCCGAGCGGTTCACCAACTGTGACCGGTCCGACATCGCTCTGGTCGCTCGTGGCGTCGCTCGACCCGTGTTGCTTGTTTGGTAGCGTCGCTCGAGCCCAAGCCGCTGTGCGGGCTCGAAGTTCAGCTCCTTCAGCTACCTCACGCTTCACAATTGTCCGTCAAAGAATCGGTGACTGTAAGCATTGTTAAGCAAGTTGTTAAGCAGCAAGAAGTCTTCAGACAGCAAGAGCGAAGCAAACACATCACTGTCATCGAGTCATTGTCAAGAAGTAACAGAAAGTCATTGAACTCATCAGTGGCTCATTGCTTCTCTCTGCTTTACTTGGCTCCCTACAGGGATCGGTCGCAGCTTGCCAGCTGTAGCTGGCAGAGAAGGCCGTGGCTGGGTCCAACCAACTCACTAAGGTCAGCTGTCCTGAGTGGCGCGTGGGGCTCAACCTGGCGCGCGAACCTGAAGAACCTGTGGAACGCGAGTCCACATCGGTTACTTTGCAAGACACAACATGTGCTGAAATTGCAAGAGATGAAAATAGATGAACACACATGAACTGTATTGAGCTGCTAACTGCTCTCAAGCGCGGTAGGTACAAATGTGGAGGGTGCTGATACCACCCAGTGCAGTTAGTTGCGTGGTGCAAAACCAACCTACTTGTCACCAGCCGCCTTTCCTCGAGGTGAGGAACAGCGGGCAAGCACATGAACAAGCAAATCCCTCTCAAACAGGCTAAACGACCTCCACATTTGCTCAACGGCGTCCAATACAGTTTCATACCTGCCGTATCCCCTTCCAGTTTCATGCCTAACTTGTTCCCAAACAGTTTCATGTAGCGTAAGTGGCTCTGCCCCGGCTTCAGCTCGACTTGCTGCACATGCTCCTGGACACCCTTCGCCTTGAGACTTCCTTCATCTGGAAAACTGGGCTGCAAATTGGCATTCCTCAGAAGCCGCCAGTGGGTGCCGCGGGCTGCCCCAAACCAAGCCAGCAAGCACCAAATACATTCCACCATGTCCCACCTTCCGTCCACCCTCCTCCCATTCCACCAAACACGCCCCCAACCTTCTCATGACCCCCTATCCACCACCATGGTCCGATGCCAGGCATCTGAAGCCTCCAATGGATGGATGCCATAAGCCCAGCAGGTGCCACCGTGGCATCAAAGACGAGGGCGATGGTTCCACTGTCCCGGTCACTCCAGCAGCGCAGCTGCACACCTGGACACGCCCAGGCGGCAACCTACCATGCACCCCATCCCCACCCTACCTACCACATCCTACCACCCACTCCCTCACCCTACCTCCCCACACTCTGCGCCTCCTTGCTCCTTGAGGCAAACACCCCGTGGTCCGAAAGCTGCTGCCTCATAAGCCTCCCGCTGTGCCAAGTCGGCAAAGCCGCGCACCGCAGCATCTTCCAAACTCACGGGGCGTGGTGCATACACCTCGTGAGGGGCGTGGTGAGTTGGCTGGAGCGACCGAAAAAGGTGCGACGTTCCTTTCATATGGAGATGCTCTCAAGTTCAAGGTAGGAGAAGAATCAAGGGGAACCAAGTGGTTCATCTCCATGAAATTGTCTATGGACCAGATGCTCTTCCCCCAATATGTGGGTGGAGTGGAAGACACACACAAAAAAACACATCTGACCTTACCCAACACCCTCCAACACCCTCTACAGGCATGCCAAAGCACACGGAAGGTGGCATCAGAATTCCAGCTCTGTGGCGGCTGGGCTTGAAGCCAGTGAACCACGACCAAGTAGTTGGTGCCTGTGGCACAGTCCAAGCGCCAAACATGTGATATCTAGCCTCACACCCGGTCACCTGTTCCTTTTGTGAAACGATATCTGTCAAGACTCAAGGAGAATTCCTTTCGCACACATCACATAGCTGGAGAAATTGGAAGAACCACCAATCTACACTTGCAACACATTGACACATGCCAAAATGCAAGTGAAGACATTTAATTTACGTAATCTCCTCCTCCATCCCTACATATGCAACCAGGAAGACACCACGAACCGTTGTGTCAAACGTCCGCCTGTCTTCATCGCCACACGTAAGACCGTCTCCCGTTGCGTCGCGAAGCTGGAGGAGGCCACATGTCGTGCACCCCGGGTCCACCTCACGGGCGGCACGAACTCCGGACGATCCAATGAGTCACTGAAGGATGGGGGTTGCCTAAGCTGGGCGAAAAGGAAAAAAGGACGACGTGTGGCACATATATGTTGACATATGTGGACGGAAGCGAGATTTCTGGGTGACTATATATACAAGTGATGTTGGTTTACGTTTAGTAACTGCCTGGAAACCTCGTTGAGGTTCGAAACAGCCAAACATGGGCGAGGAAGCCTTCTTTGTCTAAGGACATCTATAAGTACCCACGGGCTCCTACTAGCAACTAGTACATTGCTGTGGACTACGCCGAGTGCGCACTCGCCACACTCAACCACTGACAGCCACGTCAGCTATGGCTATAAGCCTAATGCAGAAACTCTAAAACATCGTGAGACTCTAAACCAAACACCATCAATATCCATCAATAAACAAAACACACTTGGCTTCTCACTTCGTTCAGCCCTGCTTAGCTGCTCAGCCCTGCTCGACTGCAGTTCAATTCCTAAGATTCTTTAACCAGCCCCTCCTGGAACCACCCCCAAGCTTGGTGAGATTTCAACTTTGGTCTGAATCTACCAATCCGCACGCCTCGAACCTCACCCTTTAATACCGAAACGCGCCAAGGTGCGAAGACGGGGATCCGCCTGGCGATGTTAACCTTGGAGCCGCTCACATGGTAAACCACGTGTGTACGTGTTGAATATAAAAGACCTGCCAGGCAACGACCCCTGGAAGAAGGAAAATATATAACCAAAACCATCCAACAAAAAGACTGGCTGAGTCTCTTCGGATTCAAATGCACACCCATATGTTCACATCATCTTACTACCAGTGGAGGATGTTCACAGCCACTGTAGCCACCACTAAAGGCAGCAGATCAATGGGGCACATGTCTCGCCCCTCGCCCGCCGATTCACGCCTCGTGGCTGTGAGGCGGATGGACCCAAACATGAAGCGGAGCGCATCGTTTTTTGCGGGGGCGCACCAAACCCGTTGGTTGCAATTTCCCAGACACTCCATGTATGCCATATATGCCTACATTGACCCCTAAAACCACCCCAACTGATCGGCATATATGGCAGTCCCATGGAGTGTGTGGGTTTGTTCGATGCTTCTGTTGCACGGCTCTGCGTCGGACCACCCCTACAGCCCACGTCCTTGCTCCAACCCCGTCGCCACGGCCGTCGCGGCGGTGGTGCCAGGCGGCTCAAAGAGCTCCAAGCGTACTGCAGAATACTTCTTCCGCTGGTTACGGGTGAAGGCTTCGTCGGATTCTTGGATCACAGAGATGACAGCCTCCAGAGGTCGTAAAAACGAGCAGCCGTTGAATCATGCCACATGAGCCTATATATGAAATTATATGAGCCTACTGATGCCGAATTGGACATTTAGGTATGTCGTGTGTTTCTTTGCTGACGACTTGCAGAAGTGCCAAGACTGTGCGAAATTGAAGTGAAATGTGATAGATCTACTGTACATTCATCATCATTCATCTATCAACCGATTGCCACTCTTCAGCTTCGAGACTAAGTCTAAAAGCTGGTGTACACTCTATATCATACTAGGAGTCTTGCGATTAACCGCCATGCACGTCGCCCGTTTCGCCACGTCTGAACCACAATGGCGGTTTGGCAGCTGTCCTCAGCTGAAACCTCGACTGGAGAGCGTGCGATCTGATAGACAACCCCGGCCGGGCCAGCCTCCATCTCTTTTTGGTCGTCCAATGGCAAATCCACACTCACAGCCACCTGGCAGCTTGCGCACCAGCAAGCGCGGCACAAGCGCACAAGCGCTTGTTGATCTTTCAGCAAGTGGTCAAGTGGCTGCATCCAAATGCTGAATGTTTCAGTGGGATGCAACATCTGAGGAACCACATCTGCGCCAAAACCGGCCCCGCAAAACTAAACCTGTCCACGAAGGCAGTGAAATGTAAAACAAATGCTTGGATTGAATGGATTAGTAGCAACACGATCTTTCCCATGCAAATCCTGGCTGAACAGGAAAACACCACAACCCGCCCCCCAAACCAAAAGATCTTCAAATTCCAATGCTTTCGCTGCAAAGCACCTGCGAAGCAGTTGGCTTCAGGTGGCACAAGGTGGACACATAGCCAGGACCTTGGCTTCAAGAAGGGCGGATGGAAAGCATGGAGAAGGACATGGACCAAACTTTTCTGGCCAGTGATGACCTATACGGAAGGATGCATCCTACTACCAGGGCCCAGTGGATGATGATGAGGCCTGGTTGCAGGCCTTTCTCCAATTGGTGATCATTGTTTACTGACTGTTACAGGTAAGAGGACAGACCCAAACCCAAACAAAAAAGGAAGGATGCGGATACGATTTGATATGACCCTCCATTGCGCATCATCTAGGCTTAGCCCTCAACCTCGCATACATTGGGCACAAGTCTAACAACCGGCTCGTGGTCTCCCACGGTCTTTCTCGCGTCTTCTGGTCATCCTCGGTCTTTCCTCTTCGCCGTCTTCGGACTCCATTCTACCAAAGCTTTCAAGCCATTCCACCAATTTCCTGCAAACTTGTTCATAGCTTACTCACTTCCTGCTTGGTGGTGTGGAGCTGTAAATCAATCGAAGCATCTCTTCGTACACAATCAGCCACATGTATGTCGAGAGGTTTGGAGCTAAAGGCAGCTTTGGGCTCCTTTGGTGGCTTTGGGGGGAAAGGCTCCAAGCAAGGCATCATCCATTCCAAACATTTCCCATCTTTCCCCTTAGCCAGTGATTGAACATGTGTTCAATTCTCCACCCTGAGTGACACAACAGCCTCCAATCGTAGAAAGCCGAAGGGCGGTATTCTGAAACTTGCACCGTCGAGAAGGCTTCGCAAAAGTTGGACTGGCGGGTGGGTGCTGCAGTCAATCTGTGGCTCCACATTCATCCGTATAGAAGAACAAATTAGGTAAACTGCTACTAGCATCTGTGCAAATTGGTGGTAGTGGTCTCTCTGGCTTCCTGCGGATCTAGATCTTCCAATTCTTGACCCTCGTGCCTACATCTTCCAATTGAAATGACCATTCTTGGTCAGAAATACCCGTCCAAGGTCATGGGCCATCTGCATTTTCCTCCAACCCTGCGAGTTCAGTGCCAAGAACGGCTGGGCGTACGAAGCGCATCCAGAAGGTTCCCAGGTCTTCTTCCAGCATCTCCCCTTCAGGACCTTCCTGCCCGAAGAAGCTACGAAGAGTACGTCTGAGGTTGAACTTGATGGAGGTCGAAGAATGGGAACGCACAAAATTCAAAGGAGTTTCTCCTCTTGGCTACTTTTGCAACCTTCTGGCCTCCAAACTGTGTGGCACATTTAATAGAATCTGACCTCCGTTTTTTCTTTGCCAAGGAATTCCACATTGGTTGATCTAGAGATCATCTCCTCCGTAGCATCCTTTTGGACTCGCAGGAGCAGGAGCACAGCTTGGTTTGTTTAAACTCGGAATTGGCCAATGGGGCCAGACCGGATGACCGGTGGCGCACTCCACTTCCAAGGTGATGATGATTCGGGGTCCAATGAGGTCGGTCACCTCTTGCCTGCTTCTCATTGACTTGGGCCGGTGCGCTCTTTGAAGCCCTTCTTGCTTCCTCAAAGGCCACAGTGAGGCAAGTATGACCAATTAGGCATCTTCACCGCGTCATTTTCTCACACTGATGGGTCCAATTCGAGGATGCGAGTCACATCCACCGTGACGGTCTTCACTGATCGGTCCTTGTCAAGAATTCCGCAGTCAAAGAATGCGCCGCTGAATGGCAAACGAGTCTTCTGCCTGGAACGCGTGCCATGTTGACATGGGCCTACACTTGAAAACCCCACGTTCCTCCACGTCCTAAACACCTGTTTTGGGGGAGTGGTTAGTATATATAATATATATATATATGATAACTATACCAAGATATATATATATATATCATAATCACTATCATAATCATATTTCAGCAGCACAATACCATGTGACACCTGGCGCCTCGAAGCCTCGAAGCCCACCGCTGAGCCTCCCAGCGGACCACCCTTCCAGCGTCCAGTCCTAAGAGGCTGGCGGACGGCTCGGAGGCTCGGAATCACCTGCACCTGCTGATTCTCCGGTCTGCCAAAAGCTTGGTGATGGTGGGTGTTTTTCTTTTTCTGGCATGGTGTTTGTTGTCCCAGCGCGATCGGTTCATTTAAAATAAGTATTTCTATAAGATGAACCTGCCCGTCAGCCATCTCTTTCGTGTGTTTGAACTCCCCAATCCAGTCAGGCAGTTTCATCACCTGGGTTGCCAAACCCCCAAGGATTGCGAAGGCGAATCCAACGCCTGAGCGAAACAAATCACTGTCTCCCGCCTTCAAGCCCCATTGTGCTTTGACAAGTGCTTGTTTAAGCTTAATTACTGTCTTTTGTTTAATCGGTTTTTAAGGTTCACATTATCTGGTGAATTTTTGGAACAATTTTTGATGAATTCATGCGGATACTTTGATCTCTGGCAGGCTGCAGCTGGGCGAGTGGCTCTTTGCGAAACCAACTGGTTCCTCCGTCTGCAGCCGCCTCACCACAAAATCATCTTTGCGGTCTTGAAGCTGTGACATTGGACTTTTGACTTTGGGCAGCAAGAAAGTCCGACCAGCATGACGGGCGTTCAGGTGCACTTGCAAGTGCTTCGGTCTCTGAAGGATCCAAGAACTGCGTCTGAGCCTCGACCGCAGCCAGGAGCGTATAGCCTGTGCTTCGGTCTGCTGGGACTTATTGCGGAAATGCACTCTCAACCCCTCAACTTCCCTGCACTGACCACCATAGGCTATAGGAATGTGCTTAAGACTGCATCAGCCCGTATATAGTTTTACATGGCCGTACGGTGTCCCAGGAAAACCGTTGGCCCGGCAGGTGAAGGCACAAACAGTGCACTAAAGTGATCAAGTTCGCCAAACCTAAACACCTACAGCTACAGTTAAGGCCCCACATATGCGATGGGGTACCACAAAGGCCGGTTTGATCCACGGGATCCACAACCCCGCAAGCGAGGCTGAAAACACACAGCTCGAGTAGCAGTGAGCTCCAACAAGGCCAGTCTCTTCATCCACCTGATCCTCCCAGGAACTGTAAGTGAGGTTTTTTCTAAATCTTCTGGTGGTGACTTCATTTTGTAATCTTCTGCATGACCACCCAACACTTCACAAACAGTTTCAGCGGTCGAATAGTGCTCTCATGTGGTCATGTCGTCCAAGAAATGACAACTTCTGGGTGTTGTCTTTGGCTTTCTTTGTGCCAGGAGATGGCTCGCTCTCTGCTCTAGGCTTTTGCTCTATAGTGTCCGAATTCGCCATGTAGCTTGTGGAACCCCTCCTCCTCGTAATCACTATCGCTTTCCACCACCTCAGCCTTGGCACACGATGCGCACTAGGAAGAACCCTCCCTCTCTGCGACTGAAACAGTTACAAACGAAACACCACCTCCACAAGCAAGCTTAAGTCATTTTTCAATGTCTTTTTGAGGGCCAAAACGTCCACACTGTTGGCTTGCACTTGCACCAATCCCGATTCCGAGAGGCACTTGAAGAGGATGGGGACGAGGCAAAACCAAAGAGCTTGGCAAAGAAGCCCCCTAGGCACGTCGAAAGAGGCGCTCGCAGCACGTTTTGAGGAGCATGAAGAGATGCGAGATGCAGCGGCCCAGAAAAGAAGCAGTGGCACGGCAAGGTGACGGGGCAATGACGCAACATGAACAACCCATGATGGCAAACTTCTGACCTTAAGTACTACGGCCCTTCATGGCCCTTCATCTGGAAAATGGGTATAGCCTCCAGCGGTTGAGTTGGCAATGTCTCACCTGAAAGGAACCCAACTGAGCTTCAAGCCATCTGGTGGTGGTGGCTTCTTCTTCCCTTGGCAATTGGCCTGGGCACTCATAAACTTGAGGCATCCCAAAACTCACCACATGAGTCTCTTTCCACTATTTACAAGATCCTTCAGTAAGATCAATTTGAGGCCTAACTCATCAACACATAGTTCTTCTCAGCGAGGCCGCCCATCGCCTCACCGGTTTGCCAGTCACCCGACCGTCCAAGTCCTCAGATTCCGACGCACATGGGCTGGCCATCTTTGGTCGCCTTCTCCAGGGCCATCCACACCTTCTCTTTGGTGTCTCGTTCCGGACCTGCGCACGCTGAATCGGCATCCACCGGCGAAACCAGGCCTCTAAGTGTGAGAGGGGCAGCCTGGAAGTGTGAGAAACAAGAAAAAACGCATGCCCGGCTGCCCAGGCTCTTGCAGTGAGACCCTTTTGCTCTCTGGCTCCGCGGTGCTTTGAACCACCTCAGCAAGCTCTGGCTGATGACCCGCTGGTTTTCTTCGCTGATCGTGTGCAACATGCTGATTGAGGAGTTGCCCAGCTGGCTATGCTCTTTCTAAGGTTGCATAGCAATTTCATTTCAGGTTTTCCTTTGAGGACATCTGGGTCTGATTGCCTACAGTTCATTGGACCCTTGTTCCCCACGTATCCCGAACATACACAGTGTCTCACGCGTGTGGCACGGGGCCTTTGCTGATGGGAACAAACCAAGGCGCTGCCCAGCACTTCCTTGCGATAGATAAGACTCGACTGCTGAACTCTTGGTAGAACTCCAAAGGCAGCTTAAACTGTCCTCAGATGCTTTCTTCGCTCAGCAGTGCACAGAAAACACACCTGCCAAACCCCTCAAACGAAATGGGGTTTGTGTGCGCCCCACACGTTTTGCATTTGACATCCCACGTGCTGCAGTTTATCATGCCCCAAATCCATACAGCTTTGTGAGTGACACCCAGCTATAGAGCTATTTATGAGGTTTCCTGGTCCAGTGATTTCCTGCACTTCAAGCGCGCCCCCCTTACACGATCCCATCCCATCCCTCACCCAAGCACCCCAGAACTCATCGTCACCTCAATCCCCCCAACAGAAGACATACTAGTAGCTTCTTGCTCCTAGTAGTAAGGCCAGGAGTCCCTAGTAGCTTCTTGTTACTACTAGTAAGGCACTTGTTACTAGAAGCGATGCACTTGTTCCTAGTAGCTTCCTACCTCATCGTACCTTCATCCAGGCTCGGTCGTAGGTCAGTAGTCCGTTCACCTCCGTCTCCACATCCGTCCATTGAGTGTAGATCGCTCCAGCCACGCCCCCAGCGCCTGGGAGGACGCAGGCGTTGAAGACGAAGAAAGTCGCTGCGCACGCAGGCACCACGGAAACCCTCAAGCAGAAGTCAAGCCATGAGCCGGGGTTGGTACATGTTGCTGTGCAAATTATACTATATTCTTACCTCGTCTCCCTCGTTTTGGAATTCGCATCCCGGGGTTTAGCACCTCGCCTCGTTATATACGGTTTGGAAAATATTGCCCCGCCTCGTTAGTTCCACCTCGTGCGATGACGGGCGGTTAGTAGTAGTAGTAGTAGTAGTAGTAGTAGTAGTAGTAGTAGTCGTAGTCGTAGTCGTAGTCGTAGTCGGTCGTAGTCGTAGTCGTAGTCGTAGTCGTAGTAGTCGTAGTACTCGTAGTAGTAGTCGTAGTCGTAGTCGTAGTAGTAATAGTGGTGGTAGTAGTAGTCGTGGTAGTATGTTGGTACGTGTTGGCATCATGTTGGCACCATCATGCCGTTTTGCAGTTGCTGAATGTTGCTGACATCATTTCAGCAAGTTCCCAGAAATAGCTACTTGTTGACGACGTCCACCCGGACACCCCCTTTAACATCCTTTAACCATCCCCCTTTGCACGTCGTTGCACCGCGAAGGCTTCTCCCTTGCTCGAGCCAGGGCACAAATCGCACGAAGCAAACGTCCCATGAGCCTCTCCAAGCCGTCAGCGAAGACTTCCTCAAGCAAAGACCACGCTGAGAGCGCAGCGGAGACTCTTCTTGATTGATCAACTCCCCGAGCCTGAAGAGGATTTTCCAATTCACATGGTAAACCATATTAATCACGAGTCTACATTAGCTTACAACTCAGGTATGCACCAACAATCTTCAGCTTCCACCCTGTCGAATTATCACCTGAGTGCTTTGAGCAAACAAACAAACAACTTCAACAGGAACAAAGAGCAAGCAACACGCCATTAAACTCAAGCAAAACATCTCCAAAACATCATTGAGAGGCTAACTTAAGTCTGGACCTCTCCAATCCGGGCTGCTGGGTTGCGGTTGACCTCCTTCTCTCCATAGCCCCACTCATGATGCTGAGACCATCGGTGTCCCTCTACAGCGTAACCCAAGCCGCCATATTCTCCCAGCACGGGGACACGGCCTGGCACAAAGATCTGGACATGGGCAAAGCAACAGAATATCCATCTAGATCCATGGACATGTTTGCATTTCTTGAAATTTGATATGGAACCTGAGTAAAGCCTGGAGTGGTCAAAATTGGGATGCAAGTAGTTCGGCATGGATGTGCATCTGAATAAGGGGATCCCTATTCACCCATTGAAGAAACTGAAAGCAAACAAACTGACAAACATCTCAGTGGCTGGGCATTCTTGTCCTCCAAAATCCACGGCACACAAAGACTGAAACAAGCAATGCGGTAGTGTATGCATTTGGCATTCTCTTCTGGAATTGTACGTGCTAGTTACTAGATGACTTACTGTATGTATTTGGAGGTTGGCAGCTTGACAACAGCTGACAGCTTTCCACTTCCCAAAGCCACTGACATATGGTCACGCAGGTCTTGATCCCAAGCAAGCCCTGAGCTCCTTCAAAGACAGTGCTTGCTGCCTCTGCAAGCTCTTTACGGGTCCTTTGACATACTGTAGTAGCATTGCCTATCTTAGACTCCTGAGAAGAAAGCTTGTCAAACTGTTTCAGGACCGCCCAATAATCAAATACCATGATGATACACATGATGATCTCTTACACTGCCCCCATGCAAGAACATTCCTTAGCCGCCCGAAGAATCATAATTATATAATTGTCTGTTTACCAACTGAAAAAAGTGCCAGTCTATTCTATGTGCCCATGGAAGACCAAACTCTCGAAAGAAGCAGGTCCTTTTTTGTACCGCATGTCTGCTATCAACTATAGTTGGCTAGAAACCCAAGCAACTTTGCACTCGCCGCATAGTCCACTTCATCACTGCCAAAGGCTCAGCTTTGCACAGCGCCTTTGCGCGCTCTTGCAGCGCGCTAGAATTACAGCGCTCTGCTGGAGAGCAGCCCTGCAGGTGCTCAGAGTGGATTCGGTGCTGGTGACCGCTGGTGCTCAGTTCGTTTCCCAAGGTGAGACGTTATGACTCCAGGTCCACCTGGCCGTCCACGAACGAAAGCGGTCGCATTCGCGCAGGTGCACCCCTGCTCTCGTGTCGCAAGGAGCAAACCTCGAAAGGCAACGATTGCATAGTCTATTGCATCTTTCTAGTGTACCTGAGGGTTGTCCAACATCTTGGTGTTTTAAGACCAGCTTCCCAACCTTCCAGAGATACACAAGTCAGGCAAACACCTATCCCAACATGCTTCTCCAACGCGAGCCGAACTGAGTCTGAGTATCATGACTAAACAGTTTTCAATACAAGGGGGTGACGGTCACTTGGGACAAGTGCATCCTCTATCCACAAAACAAAACATTCAAAACATGTACAAAACTACCTTTGCTCTGGATCCTCCATTCACGCCACCCGGCAACCATTGCTCAAAATCACAGAAGGGATGCCTTCCCAAAGTGCAGAAAAAGCGACCGGAGGGAACCGCGGGGACCTTTCATGACCTCCTGCAGAAGCCCCAAGCCTTTTGGGCCCATACTTCCATCTCCGCTCCCAGCTGCTCCGCCTGCCCGCTGCTTCTGACCTGGAAGGCGGTGACCTCCGCGCGCGCGGGGCGCGCGCCGTTGGTGCCATCCAGGCGCAAGCGCTGACCATCGTGGCGCAGGAGCCGCTCCAAGCCATGGGCTTTCAGCCAGGTGTCCCAGCGCGCCTGGGACGAATCGAGGTAGGCAAGGGATTCAAGAGTCTAATTATGATACACAACTTGTCTTGTGGATCTTTTCGTGCTTTTGCATTGCACTCTGAGTCACAAAGGGTTGATAGGCAGTGACAGGGTTGATGGGGATTAACCGATTTCAAAAGTGCGACAACAAACTTACAGCAAAGCGGTGAGCTTTATGCACCATCAAAATGCACAGTATGTTCCAGAGTTGGAGCATCCAAAACATGGTATGCCCAGCTTGAGAGGGCCAAACTATGTTTGCGGCGAATCATGTGAAACTTGATGCAGTTGAGCTGCAGCAAACTCAGTCCTGCTGGACTCTTGCAGCTGCTCCTTCCAGCATGCAATTGGCCCAAACATGTTCAAAGTAACAAGGACTCCTTACAGAGGGCAGTTGGTTAGCAATCGCCAATCGCTTTCTAGTCATGTGGGGCCATGTGATCTCTATGTCATGCCTGAATAGCCTAGGTCTCTCCCTCTCCCCCTGTGTCCTGGGCGCCCACCTCCAAATCCAGCTGGGCGCCCGCCAAGGCAGTGCGGAGCTTCCGCTCGAAGTCTTGACTGGTATCCTCCAGGTCCCCAGTGGCCAGCAAGGTCCTGGCCGTCCTGGCCGGAGCATCGAGTCGGAACCTCCTGACTTGGACCCGTTCGGGTCCTGACTTAGTGGAGCCAATCACCAATCGCCATGCAAACCGAGTCAAGAAAAACAGGTGCGGATTTGTGTTTTATACTACAGCCTTTTGGAACACAAGGCTGTTGGAGCCCAGGTCTCTTCTCGTCTCGAAGGGGTCCTGGAGCCCACGAGGAGCGCCACCGGAAAGGCCTTCAACGTGGCGCTGATGGTCACCGCCACGGCTCGGCTCCAGCGCTGCAGCGACTGCTTCGACAGCGACGGGCTCGGAGCGCTCGCGCCCGGCGCTCCGGGCGAGGCGCTCGCGCTGATGGGGGCGTCGCGCAGTAAGAGGACCCGAGGGAAGAGAGCAGCCAAAGCCAGCAGGACCAAGAAGGCATCCAGGCTACAAGCACTGGGCCTGGAAATGAGCTCATGCTGCGAGGTGAAAGTGTATTGCTCGAGATGAGAGGTTCAAGTGGATGCATGCTCAACGGCTCATGTTGACGTGGGCCTCTATGATTGGCTGGCCGAGATGCTGCCCACGCAGATATCCGCATGTGCGTGCCCCCATGTGAATGAAGAGGCCCTATTGATCATTTATAATCCACATATGGGGGGGGTGATCAAGATTCTACATGAGTGTCACGGTGTTTTGTCCCTAATAGCTTCTTGTTCCTAATAGCTTCTTGCTCCTAGTAGTACGGCCAGGAGCCCCTAGTAGCGTCCTTGCTCCGTTCGTAGCGATGCCAGGAGCCCGTAATAGCTTCTTGTTCCTAATGTGTCACGGTGTTTTGTGCCATTCACATCTCCCAGGTCCTTAAGAAGGCATAGCTCGGTGCATTCGCAGCATTGGGCCATCCATGACGGTCGAAGAGCTCACGGAGGCTCTGGAGCGTTTCGGGGCCTGCACGCACGCGCAAGAGCTGCCCATCTGGAAGGTCAACTGGGACCACAGCTCGGCGATGGAGGGTGCAGTGATAGTATGAATGCATGACGTCATACGCGCTCGCAGCATCAAAGCTTTCCTAAGACAGGCTCTGACGAAAAACGCCGGAGAACACACATTTTAGCTATTTAGCGTGTCACCGTATGCTATGGACCTTAAGGCCGGAGAGAACATGCATTCTGAAATGTGCTGTGTAGTCGATTTGCTCAAGAATCAACACATGGAGTGGAAAATTCACTTCGGCCCCTGCATAGGCTTCAAGCATCAACCGTAGGATGGACAATCAACACTCCCTACATTCCCCACATGAATCATAGTGCTTCCATGTAGTTCCTGATTTGTCTGCTGCTGCAGCGCTTTGTTTCACCCAAGAAAACACCAAGGCACTGAGCTCTCTTCTCTCAGCATCCGCATGCACATCTCAACAGAGACCTGGCTTCGTGCCTCTCCGTCCAACCAGTGTGGAGAAAACGAGGCGGCGAAGGCATGCAATGGGATCTGGACGCTGGACACCCTGGACACCTCGACGGATGTCTGGTATCCTCGCCAGCGACGCACCGAGACCACACGTGTGGAGAGGCCAATTCATGCGAAGTGATGTGAAGTGCTGGGAAATAGAAAGAAACCCTTGAGGACAATAAAAAGGAACATGTGATTCTGGACCTGGCTACTACACTCCACGGAACTAACATGGAAGATCATGGAAGTGGATGGCATGGCCCCTTTGAAGATTATGTTCCTCTATGTTCCTCTACAAACAATTGACCGTGGTTTTCCACTTCCATGTTAGTTCCAGGGGGAGTATTTTGATAGGATTGACTTGGAGATGTTTAGGTCACCTTTTGCAAACCAGCATCGAAAACGATTTGGGATGGCCACGGTCGCGGCGGTAGCCTTATCTTCGCGATTGGAATCTTCATCCATGCGAGCCATGGCGGGCAAAGAACTCTCCCCATCATCTCGAATGACTTCTGCAGCAATGCCCAGCGCCCCATCTTTGCCTGAGAAGAACTCCTTCATGTCTTGGAGCCTTTTTTGGAGACATCGTTTGCTCAACGAAATTGTATCCATGACATAAATAGTTGTTATATTATGTTGTTATATAAATCAGTCATTCAGGAGGAAGAAAAACAAACAAAACACAAGAACCATCAAACAATATCACACACACAAAAGCAATAAAGCAATAAAAACACCTTCAACCCCAAAATAAGAAAAACCTCCAGATCGCCCAACTCTTTCTTCCCTCCATTTAAATTTCGCCAGGTCACAAGCGCCGATGCTTCGTGACATCCACAGGAATGCCCAGATCGACCAAATCCTTCAAGAGACCAACCCCTCGAGACCATTCTCCATTCCACAAAGCAGCATCAATTAGTCGATCCTCAGTGTCGGTGGCCAACACGGCCGCCCGGCCCCAAAACGACCCCGCCGCAGCAAATCAACTGCTGTGAGGTTGGGTTGTGGTCAAGAACAATGTCAAAAGCTCTCGAGGGCAGCATGGCAAGGGCCACAACATATGAGTTCGCAAGGGAATTCCATGAAACTCCGGCTTCAGAGGGTAAATGCCGCCTTGTCAGCCTTCCCCAACAGAATGTGGAAGAAGAAGCTCAGTGAGCATAGTAATATATAATACTAATAGTATCATGTCGCTCTAGAACTAAGTGAGCCATAGTAAGGCCATTCACAAACAACCAGCTCAATGTTCACCATGTTTCATAGACCTTTCTCCACTGATGCTGCCTTTCAAGCTCCACAGTTGCCGCTTCTCT